TTTTCATTATCTTCAAGTGTGAGGGTATCAAGGGGTAAGTGGGAATAAAGTTTCTTGTTCTTTTCTTCCAAACAGAAAATGGACAAAAACAAAGATGGAGTCGTTACCATAGATGAGTTCATTGAAAGTTGCCAAAAAGTAAGTTCGTGGTAGGAAAGAAACTATCCCTTTTGCTCTCATAATAGCCAGGATAAGTAGAGTCAGCTAGCCACCATGAACTGAGCAAAATATAAAAGCTTACCTAAGCTTACCATTCATACACAGCTGATAGAAGCTACCACTCTAAAAACAATTGCCAATTTATTTATAATACAATTTATTAACATTTATAGAGTACCTACCCCCAGCAGAGCTACGTAGAAAGCCCTTAAAGAAAGAACTATTACAAGCATGTTGCATTTTTGTTTCTTAAATCCTCTAGTGTATTCATCACTGAGGGTAAAACCTATGTGAGATTTGAATTGCTCTTTCCCTAAACTTAGCATACAACATATTATCTCCATAGATGTATAATTCCAGTACATCAAACTATATATCACAGGCCGAGTTTGCATCCGACTTCTGAGAGAAACGCATTGCTTTAACACATGGGCACCTGAAATGGGCTTTTTGGCTGATCGAGTAGTGGTCTTCAGTTGTAAAAAATAAAAAGCAGAAAATCCAGAGGAGAAATCCAAGTGGTTCTCCATTGTCTGGTGGGAGACTGGTTTTACCTTATCTAAAATTATTTGACTTGATGCATGGGTAGAGCTACAATTAAGAATCAATATTTTAAAATAAATACAGACACGATGAGGTTTGTTGATACTTTAGCTTTCTATTTTCAAATTGATATAACTTTCCCTTTCTTGGTGCCTGCTTGCTTCTCAACCCATATTTGGATGTGGTGGTCTTTGCGAGCATAAATTTGGTGGACTCAACCTGCTGATGCAGTGACTTGGCTTCTAGCAGTGGAAGTCAGCACAAGTTCACTGAGTGCCATTCACATACAACCTCCAAGTGCCCCTCTTGTGCCAAAATCGGTGCCCTTAAGTTTCTAAGGAATGTGCTAAATTGCACACAGCCACTGTCCAAAGGTTGCTCTCAAATAGTTCCTTCTCTGAGAGACCATTCACTTTTTTTTTTAATGTTTATTTGAGAGAGAGAGAGAGCACACTAGTGGGGAGAGGGACAGAGAAGGAGGCAGAGGGAGAATCCCAAGCAGGCTCCACAGCACCAGCGCAAAGTCGATGTGGGACTTGATCCCATGAGCGGAACTGAGAGGCCATGACCTGAGCCGAAATCAAGAGTCAGACCCTCAACCAACTGTGCCACCCAGGCGCCGCATGAGATCTTTTATTTTTAAAGGCTCCTAAAGGCCATACAGATTCAGCCCTAACAGACCCAGAAATAGAGGTGGAATGACTACCAATATGTCTCCCAAGCCCCACCTCCAACCCTGAATGAAGTTGGCTCTCAGCTGGCGCACAAACTCTGCTTCCTTCTACTCATACAAGTCTGTGATTTAACTTGTGAGCTACCTGGAATGCCCCCCCCCTCCACTGCGCCCCTCTAGTTTCCATTCTGGCATTCTAATTTGAAAAATATTCTCTATTAGCACCAAGTAAGATTCAAATGAAATATTTAAAGCCTGCAGACTTTACGTTTGTAAAATGAGACTGTCCATAGTTATCTATATGGAAATGTGCTGGAATGATATTTGTATGTGCAAACACCTAGTATCAGAACTTCTGGCATACTCAGCGGGGGGCGGGTGGTAGCAGAAGCAAAACAGTGTACTTTCCCTTGCAGATATGCTGAATTGAATCCCACTGTGTTTCTCCCTTACAGGATGAAAACATCATGCGCTCCATGCAGCTCTTTGAAAATGTGATTTAACGTGTCAAATGCATCCTCAATCAAACAGACAAATGTGAACTATTCTACCACACTTAACGTTGGAGCTACCACTTTTAGCATAGATTGCTCAGCTTTACACTGAGGCATATTATGCAAACAAGCTTTGTTTTAATATAAAGCAATCCCCAAAAGATTTGAGTTTTCCAGTTACGAATTTGCATCCTTTTCATAATGCCACTGAGTTCATGGGATGTTCTAAGTCATTTCATGCCCTGTGACTCTTCAAAAGTAACAGAATCTGGCATAGAGTTTTACTGATTCTTTAGCCATGGGATTATTGAGCTTTCACATGATCAGTGATTTTAAAATATCAGTGTTTTTTGCTACTCTACTGTATGTATTCTGCCCCAGGATTTTAAATGGTTTTCTAAAATACTGGCATCTGCATTTAATTTCCAGAAGTTAATTTTCATGTTTGTATGCTGTAATTCCATTTATACAGTAAGTAAACAAGATTACTACAATTAAAAACAAACAAACAAAAACACAGGCCCACTTTCTATGGATTTGCTGCCTTCTGTTAAAGATATTCATTTATCTGGCATTTTTTTATAACATGAAACAAATCAGTTTATCACCAGATGTCAGCATATGCCTAATAAAGCTTATTTAATAAGCATTTCCTAATTTTTCATAGTACATATTATAGCCAAGGCCTAATGATATATGTAATTTTGGATTTGTTCAATCCTATAGGTTGACTGTTTTCTATCTTGTCATTAAGTAGAAGTCCAGGAAGGTGTGGAACAAAGCAAGGGTGTTTACAGGCATATGCAAAGGGTCAGGGTATCTGTCCTCTAGTACATGGTAATGCTTAGTAACAAGTAGTCCCTAACAGCATTGAGGGCCTATTCCAGCCCCTTTCCCTTGGCTCTTTCGAGACACCTTTCTATTACATGCCATCAGGGACACAGACACCTGGACTGCTCCAAAGCCTGCAGCGAACAGAGAACAAGCAGAGTTCACTGTGAAAGCATCAGTGATTCCATTTTATCAACAGCCACCGTACCAAAACTTTGTTAAAAATTAAAGTAAATGCTAAGCAATTCATCTGGACTGTATTATGATTTAGCTCATCATAAAACTTCAACAATTCAGATTCTCTTTAATGATCTTAAGCCAAAACTGTAAAGTTGCCACATGACCTAGGATATAGACACCTTCCCTATTTTGCAGAAATATCACAAAGACCAAGAGGCTACAGTGAGGGGAGATTTGCAACTGTGCTTGCAACAATAAATCAGGTATCTATTCTGGTGTAGAGATAGGATGTTGAAAGCTGCCCTGCTATCACCAGTGTAGACATTCCGAGTAGTACAGTACATGTACACTGAAATTCGCCATCGCGTGTTTGTGTAAACTCAATGTGCACATTTTGTATTTCAGAGAGAAAAAAAATAAAAGCAAATAAAATGTTTATAACTCTACTGTCTATGTTACAGGTATTTATTCCAACATGTTTTTAAGTACTAGATTAAAAATATTATGTTCTTCCTTTGGCACTGTCACATCGTGCGTATGTTTGGCTCAGGGCGGGGGGCTAGGTGCATGAAGACGAGTAGAAGCAAGACCAGTGGGTTGGTAGATATTTTAGCTCATAGGGTCTGCAGATGTGAGAGGGGTGCGGAGACCTGAGGAAACTGTATCCCAGACAGGGGCACCAGGAGGCACCAGAGCTCTGAGGGGCGATGGGCGTTTCTGCAGTTATGACTCCTTAGAAATGACTTGTGTTCAGGGGCGCCTGGGTGGCTTAGTCGGTTAAGCGTCCGACTTTCGCTTAGGTCATGATCTCGTGGTTCGTGGGTTCGAGCCCCGTGTTGGGCTCTGTGCTGACTGCCAGCTCAGAGCCTGGAGCCTGTTTCAGTCTGTGACTCCCTCTCTCTCTGACCCTCCCCTGTTCACGCTGTCTCTCTCTCTCTCTCTCTCCTAGAAATAAATAAAAAACATTAAAAAAAAAAAAAAAAGAAATTACTTGTGTTCTTTCACATTCCAGCTGTGAGACTGTATCTGAAATGAGAATGGCAAAAGGGTCACTCCTTATACCTGAGGGCAGGAGCACGGAAGGTGTTCTCCAATGCTGCCGAGACAGAGCATGGTTGCTCCTATAGAAATGAGTGAGCCCTAATCTTTAGCCCTCCAAAAGTACACCTGCTTTGGATTCAGTGTGGTTGCTACTCATGTCCTCACAGCCTTTCTTCTTGCACTTAGGATGGAAAGTCTTACACTTGTTTTCTATTTCTCACTTTATTCCTTTCTCTTGTAGAATGATCCAGGGTCAGCATCTACAACATCATCGCTGAGAACTATGCCTGTCAAGTATGTTTTAAAACATTTTTTAATTAATAAACGTAAGCAGGCACAACAAAATCACAGTATGTTGAAGTATTTTCAGATTTTAATTTCTGGATATCTTCATGAAATGAGTTATCTTAAGTATTTTCAGACTATGGGATACAAAAATAACATTTACTTAAATATAATCAACACCTAAAGTTTAGGTAGTTTTAATAAGTTGTAATAAACAACATACTTACAAGAGGATTTACACATTAAAAAATTTTAATTTATTTTAAATGTTTTATTTACTTCTGAGAGAGAGAGAGACAGCGTGAGCAGGGGAGTGTCAGAGAGACACAGAGACACAGAATCTGAAGCCGGCTTCAGGCTCTGAGCTGGCTGTCAGCACAGAGCCTGACGTGGGGCTCGAACCCACGAACTGTGAGATCGTGACCTGAGCCGAAGTCGGATACTTAACCAACTGAGCCACCCAGGTGCCCCTAAAAAAATTTCTTAAACTAGAATACTCTGGTATGAACTTTTTCCAAGGATTCTACATCATAGATGCATATGTACAGACAATAATTAAGAGTGAATTCACAAATGTTTATCCATACTTTAAATTTCCATAGAGTTGATAAATATAAACCCCCCCCACCAATGACAAAATGTCTAAAAATAAGTGCACAGCTACAAACTGAGTGTGAAAGGGATATTATAAATAAAAAGCACTAGAAAATAAATACAAACGCATCTACTATAAACCCAACAATGGTTGTTTGCACCAGGCTGTAAATATATGAAAAACTGACCCCACAAAATTGTACTATTGTAGAACTGTTTTTAATAACTTTCCATCATTGACCATCCTTTTTTGTTGATAAGTAACTTTTACTATGATCCAGTGGAACTACGTATACTCATCTGAAGCTAGTAAATCTCGAATGGTGGCTGTGATTTACAAAAGAATACACCGAAGTGAATCCAAAAAAGTGCCACAGGTACCCACGGTCGGCGTCCCACACGTGTCCCCATGGTGTGAGGTTTCTTCAACAGCATATGGAGCAATATGTTGGGATCTTGGATTTGATGATGATCAGGCTTCCCTGTCAACAGAAACAACATCGTTTCGTTAGTATCATGCAGGGTCCCCTGGACAGGTACTAATGACATCTGTTGGAGGAAGCCTAAACAAGTGCCAAAACTCAAAGCAAACGGAATGAGAACAGAATGATGGAATGAGAAGTGTAACACTTTTTCTGAGTTGAATAAAATATAGGTTGTCTCTGGTTGTTTTAAACAATTTCTAACTGCAGACTTCGTAGGACCCAGATCACCAGCATGTGAATCCAGCTTCTGCCAGTTGCTTCACTGTCAAATCTGGGGCTCATTCTCTTTGAGCCTCAGTTTTTAGATCTTTAAAGGGGGATCATAACAAATTCTACTGCTGAGGGCTTCAGGGATGATTAGATGGATATAATGTCTAAACAGTACTCCACTGAGGACGTGACACGTGATCACTTCCCACATGTTCAATAAAGACTGGGGTGGGTGCAAGTACTTACCTTTTCCCAGAGAAACGTGCCTCTGACTTAGGAAGAAAATTCAGTCAAAGTAAGAGTGAACCAGCTGCCACTGAAGGCAGGTAGTCAACTGATTAGTTGTAAGAAAATGACACTGTGACTGTAAGTCACTTTCCTGCCGCCCCAAAGCTGAGTGTTTCCATCACTGTGGAACCCACGAGCCCCAAGAAACGAGAAACTGCAATACCGAGAAGAGTCTTTTAAAGATTCAGCTCTCGGGGCGCCTGGGTGGCTTAGTCGGTTAAGCGTCCGACTTTCGCTTAGGTCAGGATCTCGCAGTTCGTGGGTTCGAGCCCCGCGTCGGGCTCTGTGCTGACTGCCAGCTCAGAGCCTGGAGCCTGTTTCCGAGTCTGTGTCTCCCTCTCTCCCTGACCCTCCCCTGCTCACGCTGTCTCTCTCTCTCTCCTAGAAATAAATAAAAAAATATTAAAAAAAAAAAAAGACTCAGCTCTCCTATTTAAAGACGGAGAAAGATATATAAACATTTCAGTTTTTGAAGGGAAAGAAGGGCATTTGTTATTATCGGGGAAGACTGCAAAATACTGAAAGCAGGCACAAGGGTAATTGGGCCAGTGGAAAGTCTGATCAGTTTTGAACAGTACGCCAACAGAAAATCTCTGACCCAATATTATTATTAAATTATTAAAATATTATATAAGACATTAGAAGTAGATAACAACAAGAAGAAAAGCTCTGAAGGGATAAACAATACTTAACTTCAAAATCTTTTTTATTCCGTATGAGTAAGATTCAAAATAATAAATAACACTGAGTGGCAATAAGAGGAGCCTCCCCCCAACTCCAGGGCGTGGGGGGGGGGGGGTGTCGCTCATCTACACTCCTCTGTGTCCTCCTCCAAACCTTAGTATGCTCCATCTAAAGTTTATTTACTTGAACTATGCCCTCCTCCCCATGCCTCCTCAGGAAACCTCAAGTGCTGGGCGAGCCCTTTCCACAGAATGAGTGAAACACCCTGCGGAGAGTTTCCTATTGGAGACTGAGCCTTCACTATTTAGCATCTGTTTACTTGCATCTCACAGAGGAGGAACTGGCAAATTATTTTGCATTCCAACTCTCAGAAGCACATTTATAAGCAAAAAAAATTTCCCTTCTCTTGAGGAGAGACCCTGGATTGGCTAGGGGATGGTTCTATGCCTCTCAACAAGGTCTCTGAACGCTAATCCTCCAAACACAGCAACGGAATCCAGTACCCACTAGTCTAGGGACTTACTTGCTCCTCCTAAGCTTTATTCTAGGCATTCATCACAGAAAGAATATAATCAATTTTAAAAGTCACTGCAATTGGTCAAACTGGGTAATTTAGACAAAGTTGAAACTAACATATCTGACATTTTAAAATTGCATATGATCACATACATACATACATACATACATACATTTATGATTCCTCTAGAAAGTACCTACAATGAAACTAAGTTCTGCAATGTTAAAACAATCACATGCAAACCTATCATTAAGATCTGATTAAATGTCAGTGGGGTGGGGGGGCTCAGTAGGTTGAGCACCTGGCTCTTGATTTCAGCTCAGTTCAGTTCGTGCTTCTGGAGTTCGAGCCATGCTGCTCTGACAGCGTGGAGCCTACTTGGGATTCTCTCTCTCTACTCCCCCATAACTCTCAAAATAAATAAAATTTAAAAAAAATCTGATTAAATATAATCTCCAAAACAAGATAGGATGGATCACTGCTTTACAGAAATATTTCCAAGACTAGATTATGTGAACACTTCTTTAAATGATGAAAATTCAATTAAGCTAGCTATTTGACACCACACATATAATAATGAGGCCCCCCAGAGGTCCCCCACATTCTTACACATTCTTGAAAGTCAGAATAATTTGATCCATTCTTGCGTGTGTGTGTGTGTGTGTGTGTGTGTGTGTGTGTGCGCGCGCGCACGCGCATGCGTGCACATACACGTTCCGGACAGTGTGCACTTCCAGACATGATATTGCAGCCGTGTGGAAATCTCACCTCAATCTTTGAAGATGGGAAAATTGTAAATTTTTTAGACAGAAAAATGGCACATGAAAGAAAAAAAAGTACTTTTGTCAATGAGCTCTCTGTGTTAATCCTTCTGTTTTCTGAACTTTCCAATGGTCTAAGCAAAAACACCCAAAATAAAGAAAAAAAAAAAACCCGTGAAGGTGCCCCAGGTGGAGAGCTGTATAGTCAGCGCAGAGGAAGTATACGGCCCTGTGCTAATAACACAGTTTCTAATACATCCCAATGCTTAGAAACTGTGTGACCTACAAAAGATGGAAACTCCAAGCTCTCAAATGAAAATATTAACTCCACATGGTGACTTGTGGCTGAAAAAATACACATTATACAGTCAGTTTTATAGTGTAAAAGTAGAAAACAAAACCAAAACAAACAAAAACAACAACAAAACAAAAAGAAAACATGATGTAAGGAATCAGGTTTTACTTACACTTCCACCATGCTGCTCTAGCTTCTGTAATGCACTGGTGATTGGCTCCTTGAATTTCTTATCCCTTAGTCTCTTGGAAAGCTTTTAAAATAAGATTGAGAGAATGATTTGAAAAAGTAACACAGGCCTAAGTAAAACTTCGCTAAGGCGTATGCTAACTAGAAATATAATCATTGAGTCCTTACTGTATAGTTAAGTACACAAACACCACTTAATTTGTTTTAGATCCCAAGGCTTCTTTTAGAAAACATCTCATTGAAATTTATATATAATAGACATCACTATTATTTGTTAAAAGAAAACAAGTTCAGCATTATAGCCCCGGTGCCTCGCATAATACTTGGCACAAAACAAAAGGTCAGAGAGCAACAGATTTGTTAAAATGTTGGATTTCTGGATGGAACAATCAATCAGTAAGTCATTTTATATATTAGGGTGAAATTCCTGTGGTTAGTTAGGTATAACCTGCTGACCTAAAGGTTGTAAGCAAACAGGAAGAAGGAATCTCCTTCTCTCCTAAGGCTTGCCTGATATGGTTTAGGTCTATTCCCACAGTGCTTCTCTCCATCAAACACCTGGTGCTGGTGGGAACTCATCTCCCAACATTCCTAACCGCAGCACAGCAATCTTGATAGATTCACTACCAGCCCCACTTTCTATAGGCTTCACCAGGTGCTTCTGGGGTGTATATTCTCTCCGCAGAGTAAAACGTTAAACACACAGTTCTAGGATCTCTCCAGTGGATGGGTCCAAGAAAAAACAAAACAAAACAGGGAAACTATGAATGTAAAGCATGTCTCAGTTCCGAACTACATAGGATGCACACAGAGAAAGGCTAGTTGTGGGTTAATTCCAGCAAGGACTTTAATGTTTTTATTAGTGTGTATAGTAAAGGATTAACTTCATGTAGTGAAAGGATAGGCCCTTGTCCCTGGCTCCTGGATGGCAACCTCTAAGCCCTGTTCTGATCCTGCCAGATAAGAGCTTTTTGTTTACGTGGGGGCCTCAGGCCACATGATCTCAGCTCAGCTTCTGAAGAGGCTGGAGACGAAGGCCAAGCATGCAAGCAGCCAGTCATGCTTGCTTGACGGCACCCTGATAGGAAGCCTGGACACCACGGCTGGAAGAAGCGAGTACTGTCCACCCAGCTTCACTGAGAGGGAGGACAACGGGACCCGCCACATCTTGTGCGTCCTGGGCTCTGCTCTGTGCACCTCCTTCCTCTGCGGATTTTACTCGGTAGCCCTTCGCTGGGATGAACTGAAACCGTTTAACAGCTTTCTGAGTTTCATGAGTCCTTCTAACAACCCGAGGCGGTTTGGGGACCCCCTGAACTGTCCAGCAGCCCAGTGTGTATCTGTCTAAGGATTAAACTACACGTAACGGGAAAAGACCTCATCCTGAACACTACTTACAGACTCACTAAAAAACTTACAAGGAGAAACAAAGAAAAAGAAAATCATGACTGTGGCAATGTACCATTACACAGGAGGGTGGATGAGCTGCCCTTATAATCCACAGCTAGTCAACACGGGCATAATACCGCTGTACTGTTCATTCATTCTTGTCCCCTCCCCCGCTTGCACTTTCTCTCTCTCTCTCTCTCTGTCCCTCCCTCTCTCTCTCTCTCAAATCAATAAATATTTTTAAAAAATAAGAATTAGGTAGTTTTTTAGGAGTGCTGAATCAGTTAGTGACTAGCTGGAAGCCACAGATCACGACAAGATGCAGACAGTGCACAGACACATCCACATCCACTCTGTCATCTTTCCAGTACTCACACTTGTAAGCAGATGTTTCAGATGGGCATTTAGGGAGGGGCCAACGACGACACTTAGCTGCACGAGAGCACTCAGTCCTCTGGCAAACACGTCATCATCCAGGTGGGCCTGGGGGGTTTGGGGTCAGCGGTACAGGGAAGAGGAAAGACAAGTAAAAAGAAAGGGCGAGCAGGTGGAGAAAAAAGTAAGACTGAACATCAGAAGACAAGCCACTAAACCCCGAATCTCAAAAATATCCTTTAATGCTGGACTGTGTAGAAGCAAAACAAACACATTTCCGGCTTGACTGAAACATGAACTTGGCCATACTGCTCTGAGGTTTCTTACTTTCTCTGATTACTCAAAATGGCCCTTCTTACCTGGCCTGTATCTTCCACAGGTGTCTGCAGGTAAGTAATCACCTGTCCCTGAACAACCAGGGCCTAATTTGCATGCACATCAAAATCACAGGTAAAGGGCGAATTTGCATATAATTTGGAAGACAAAAAGAAATAAAATATTCTAAATGTACCACAGAAAGTCCAAAGGAATAGGGGGTACCAGAGCCGCCTTGAGCACCGGAACCAGTCTCGGAAGCAAAGGCACAGCTTTCTCTGGAGCTCCTGGGACCAAAAGCAATTGTCTAAAGCCCTCCTTTGACACAAAGGTGTACGGATGCTTCGTCTCCCTCAAACCCTGTCGAAGACAAAACAAACAAACAAAACAGATTTACTAAGCACCTGGTTATACTAACAACAAAATTGAATTCTTACTAGTCTAAATGAAAATCAAGTTTCATTATGGTTTTCCTATTCGTGATTTACAATTTCAATAATTACAATTTCAGTTAAACCCTGAAATTGCAGAACAAAGGACATGCGTGGGACAGGAAGAATTTCTACCCACAGGAAGGAAGAAAAAGATTTTAAAAATGAAAGGAACAGGAGGAAGTAAGAGGAAAGCAAGGAAAAATAAAAGAAATCTAAAAAAAGAAAAGAAAGGAAGGAAGAAAATAAAAGGAGGGAGGGAGAGAGACGAAAGGTAAATAAAAAAAGAAAAAGAAACCCTCACTTAGGATACTAAAAACATTGTGTATACTCCCAAATACCATCTGAAAGCACAGAAAATCAGTCTACACTGCTCTTTTATAACCACAACTTTATGAATGCGTAATTACTGGACCTCCTACCTTTACGGTGATTTCACAACTTGTTTAATGAGTTTCTAAAATATTGTTTTTCCTTCATATTTAAATATTTTATATTAAGATATTTAAAAAACATCTTTTCCTATGTCCAAAAACCACTGTTAAGATTTTAAATGTCATTCTTAACATTGAAATGTTAAATAAAAATATGAAAAAAAACCCGTATCATTTCTGTTTTTCACCCTCAATGCATTAGAAAGTATTAGATAGTACTTTTCTATGATTTAATCCATCACTTTGCGTCAAGATAATACATAAGACCATAATACAAAAAAAGCAATAGCAATACTCCCTCAGTTTGACTAATTATTATCTGTGAATAAATATAACTGGCTGCAAAGTCATGCCTAAAAAATTAAATTTTGAACCAATTCGTCCTTTAGACCAAACTATCTGCTTCCCAACAGTGACCAAACACTTCCCTTCCCAGACTGCCAAGCACGACCGCACCACTTCGGAACACAGCTTCTATCATCATTTCAGAGATGACAGATCAGGTCAAGAGGAGAAGTGGATTTCCATAGTGGTGGCTCTGTTAGTACTTCTCCATCATTAAATAAGTAGAGGGAAAGGCTAACAATCTACCCAATACAGAAATGAAGGCACTGATGTTTGGAAAACGATTACTTAAAGGACTGACTTTATGTAATCTCAACTAAACACAGAATCATTTTAGGGACTCCACAAATTAAAGCACTCCCCTCACCTTGTGATAAGCTGGAGCAATTTTTTTTTAATGTTTATTTTTGAGAGAGAGAGCACTAGTGTGCAGGTGCACAGGCTCACAGGGGAGGGGCAGAAGGGAAAGGGAAAATCACAAGCAGGCTCCTCATGGTCAGCCCAGACCCAGATGCGAGGCTTGATCTGATCTCACATACTGTGAGATCATGACCTGAGCTGAAATCAAGAGTGGGGTGCTTAACCAACGGAGCCACTGAGGCACCCCTGACTGGAGCTTGTTTTCAAAGGTGTCATTATACTTGTGTGATTCATCTAAAAAATGGTTTGCTACCATATAAAAAAGGCTTAAAAACTGTAAAGAACTAATGGAACATTGATACGTTTTTAAGTTTTTTATACCAAGTTTAAAAGACTTTGATCAAAACTGCATTTCAAAATAGGCTACCCATAAAAACATACTGTTATTAAACCAAAATGATTTTGTAAGTTGAGATACAAATTAAGAAAAACAAAGACCAACAAAAATGATCCTTAACTCTTACAAAAGACAGGTATCTATAATTTAAACATAAGACAACTGGTTAATTCATTTCCCAACTCGTGACTCTAACTAAGGGAATAAATTTCACAGAAGAGACCACTGACCCACTTCAAGCTAATACTCTACCAACCTCTTCCTGATACATTAAATAATATAAAGGAATCTATCAGAAATTTTCTTAAAAATCCTCTATAAAAGTGATCTCCCTGACATTCTACTTAAAATGTCCAGGTAGGCAAAAGCCCAGAGAACTTTCCAAAGGGACGTTTAGGTAGTTAGTAGCAGTTCCCTAAGAGACATATCACATTCACATTAACCACGACTGGCTGTACAGAAATAGATCAACCACCCATTGCAATCTAATGTAATTAAAGTTAAACCACTGGTGATATCTCCTGATATGACTCGTTCAATATGATTCCAAGTACTTTTTTGGAATTAAGTGTGAATATTTCATCCACTTATCTACAAGCCCCTGTGTAGACTAACTTGTTTATAAAGCTGATTAATCAGTTTCTAATAAACATATACTGACCATAATTAGTTCCTAAGGGAGTGTTGGTGGTTTAATGACTTTTGCTTGGCTCTTATTTCAAAAGTATAAAATAAGATTTACTGATGCATTGTGAAATAACATTTAATACGGTTTTAAAAGTGTTTATCCATAAACATTCAGGAGAAATTGAAATTACACTTACCTCAGCTAAAGTAATAAGGAGAGGATCAAATGGAAGATTTTCAGGAGGACATTCCCACTGCAATGTGTGTTTTACCGAACCATGGATCAATCTAAAATAATAAACACCCGTAAATGTAACATGGACAATGTAATTACATATTAAGCAGTAATTATCTAACACATTCATACTCTTTCTACAACATGATCATATTACAACTACTCTGTAACATGTAGGAATATCATGGCTGGCAATGTTATTATGGAGGCATCTTATACAGCAAAGTCTATTATCCTACAAACTCCTACCCTCTCAACAAAATTGTTTGGTGGCGAAACTAAACTCCACATGTGTTCAGCCTACAGTTTTAGAATTCAAGCATGCTGCTGTGAGTCTTAATACAAATGCTACACTTGACATGTTTCAGTCATAATTATAAGAAAATAGATAACCTACCAATGTGCAAACAAAGAAATATAATTAGAAACAGTAAGTTGTTTTATATGGAACATTATTTTTCAGATATAGATTCTTTAAACGTAACGGTCTGAATACAAGCCAGACTTCAGCTCTGTTAAACCACAGGAAACAGAGGCCAGGAGGTGAAACAGGCCACGCAGGTTACAAAATGGTAGCCCCTTGAGCTTGTCACCGCTGCTGCTGTGGCTTTTTTAATGTTTTTTCCTTACCAGCTCTTACTGAGGCATAACCAACATGTAATAAACTGCACATGGTTACGAAGTGTAACATGTGATACAGGTTTTCAAATGTAACTACATCAAGGGAATCATCATCATAATCATGACAGTGAAGTTACTCATCACCCTCAAATGTTTCTTCAACCTTCTGTAATGTTCTCAAGTTCTTGACACCTTCTTTAGCGTTTAGCAAGAGGTCTTGGTAACATTTTTACAATTTTAGCAACCACAATTGTTTAGAGTAGGGAGTGGGGTGTAAGAACCTGAAAATACTGCTTTGCTTCAGAATAAAATACAAAAATAATAACCATAAATAATGAGGAATCCCTCTTGAGCTCATTCCTCCAAATCTGCAGATACCATTAAAAACTACATTTCTTGAATTTTAGAAAACAACAGAAGTAATGTTGTGGTTAATCTTTCCACAATGAAAACAACATTTCCCATCATCTAAAACAGGCTAAAACTGGATATACTTAGAAGAAAGAAATGTTTCTTGGTAGTGAAATCTTAAAATGGTATCACTCTATCAGTAACTATATTGTTTTCTTTAAAACAGTTCTGATGTCTATCCCAAAAGGTGGCAAAAACTGTATTAAAATTGAGCAAAAACCACCGTATGTACTCATTAATAAATATAATTTCAATAAATATAATTTTTAAAATTTTTCAAATATTTCAAAAAATAATGAAACAATTCCATTAAATTGTAAGCTTTCAGTTTCAGACAATTTATCTGCAACTTACCCAAGCCTATGAATGCTTGGCTTATTTCAGAAACTGGTTCAATCCAGTTCTTACATTATAGATCTATTTGTAATTCTAGTTTGGAATTGAAATGATTTTCTTTGACTATGCCCCACGATCTAGACCAGTCCAACAGCCAAAGTGTAAATAAGTCACCTTTATTTCAAACTCCTGGCATATAAAATGTTCAGTACATTTAAACTAAATACTGTTATTGATTTTATTCAATTATTTTAAACAGCATGGTCAGTTATAACCTGTATTGATTTACCTGCAAGGAATACCTCCTTTAGAGTAAATAGCTGCAAATGCAGAAGGGGCTCGGGACTGTTCACCAAACTGAAATAGAAAATGACATGAATGTAATAAATATACTATCACCTCCACTTTGTGACACCTGATCAGTTTCAATCCTGCTGAGGGCAGAGGCAAATGGACATCCTGACTTCTGCCCATGACACTGGTACCAAGTACATCCCTCTACCTGGCAACACACCTGAGGAAAACAATCTGGACCCACAATCACAACAACACCCTATTTCTTTTTTACCCCTAACTTGTTTCAGAAGGCTTGATGGAAGCTGGAATCACATATATGATAAATATAATATGGATAGATACTATTAAATAGGAACATCATAATTAAATATAATAAAGATAATACATCTTTCTACCCCCTACGACTGTGACTTTCAAGGTGAGGGCTACATGGGGAAGAAGCATTGGGTACAGGGAAAACAGATTTGTCTTCAGTCTCCAGCACATCTCCTACTTATCCTCTGGTCAAATGCGGATGGTCTGGATGGTCAGAGACCCTGTAATTTCTCCAAACTGGTTTTATACTTCTACAAAAACCAAAGGCTTATGATAGGTGGGGGTTGTAGAGTTGAAGACAGAACAAGACTCTCATAAACATGCTCGAATGTGTTTGCTTAGATATATAATTTCACAACTTTCAGTTTGTCTACATATTATGTTTAGAATAAATTAACTCTGGGGAAGCCTGGGTTGCGCAGTTGGTTAAGCGGCCGACTTTGGCTCAGGTCATGATCTCATGGTTTATGGGTTCAAGCCCTACATGGGGCTCTCCACTCTCATCACTGAGCGCACTTAGGAAATTCTGTCCCCCTCTCTCTCTGCTCCTCTTCTGCTCTCTCTCTCTCAAAAATAAATAAACATTTAAAAAAGGTTAAAAACAAAAGAATAAATTAACTCTGTATCTATTCCCAAAGTCCATTTTAGAGATGATGAATCACAATGGTTAAATAGTACAGCATACATGATTTCAATACAGTTGCTCCTTAGAGAATTTAGGCACAGAAAGTTAATATTTTATCACAGACTATTTTGAACATAATCAAATAAAATATAGTTGTTTAAATTATAAAACATAAACTGACTAATCTTTTTCAAAGATGTAACTAGACAAAAATATTTTTAAATCACTTGCAGTAATTTAAAAATACATTTAAGGATGTAAGTTTAGAATTAGCTTTTTTCCCCTGGAAAAAACACATATGTTTGAAGTTAAAACACACAGATGAAATGTCATTGAGGTTTAAAACTATAATAGTAGCAAAAGTTATTTCAGATACAGGGGCAAGATGGCGGAGAAATAAGGAGCTCCATGGGGCGCCTAGGTGGCTCAGTTGGATAAACATTTGACTTCGGCTCAGGTCATGATCTCACGGTTCGTGGGTTCGAGTCCCAGGTCAAGCTCTGTGCTGACAACTAGCTCAGAGCCTGGAGCCTGTCTTCGGATTCTGTTTCTCCCTCTCTCTGACCCTCCCCTGCTCATGCTGTCTCTATCTCTGTCTCAAAAATAAATAAAAACATTTAAAAAATTTTAAAAAAGAAATAAGGATCTCCGTACTTCCTGCCTGGCTGCATCTCTCAAACAAAGAAGGGCTGAAGCCAAAGGACTCTGAACTGCAGGAGTCTGGGAGGAAAAGAGATGGAGTCCACTAAGAAGGCAGCCTCACAGGTGTGTGACTGCGAACTGCGGAAGATAAAAATGGGCTGAGACCCGGCGGAACGCAGGGGAGGGAGCCCCCTCTGCAGAGAGACAAAGGGAAGAGAAAGAGTGGCTGGGGAATCTTAGAACGGTCCCTGGAGAAGAGGAAAAAACAAAAAAATTTGGCCCGGGATGGAGACGGATCCTATCGTCACATCTCTAACCACAGGGCTTTAGGAGAGAGATCCTATCTCTAACTGCAGAGCTTTCTTTGGGCTGGGCATCCCGGTCTCAGAAATTCCCTCCGGGATAGATGGTATGCAACAGATCACAGTCGCAGTTGGCATCAGGAGGAACCAGTCCCCTACTTGATCCCCTGCTAGGAAGCGGCCCAGTTTGCAGGATTACATTTCGGGCAATGTCACTAATGCGCACAGAGTAAGATCCGGAAACGAGGCTGGGTGTGGGATATAGAACACAGGCCACTTTGGCTGCGCCCACAGCAAAGTGAGATTGGACCCAAAAGAGTGATTTGCAATGCCTGGTTTGAGAGGTGACTGGGGGGCCGCCATTTTTCTCCCCACAACCACCAAGGCGGGGCCTCAGGGAGTGGTCGGAGGGATCACAGTGGAGGTGAGACCTGCCTACACCAAACCATGCCCATCCGTGTTGGAGAGTTGCTTTATTACGGAAGCTGGATGGATGCTGGGGAAACAGACAGCCACTCTCCCAAGATCAGCACTGATGCACTGCTGTGATTAACTCTAGATCAATTCTTGCTATTCAGATATATTCTCCCTTATCTCATTCTTGTCTCTCCCCTCCTCTGGACTGGGTATTCTGGTTACAGGTTTGCTTAAACAGGTATATATAATCCATTCTCTTGATGCATGTTCTACACCTCCATCATTACCTTATTTTCTCTCTCTTTGAAATAATCAGACTGTATAGTTTCTCTGGGTAACAATTATCTTCATTTATTTTTTCTCCTCACCTCCTGCCATATTCTCCTTTTTCTCTGATTTAAGCCTTTTAGTCTCTCTGCCTAGTCAATGTTCAATTTCTCTTTCTCCCCACCCGTCATTTCTCTTTGTATATGCTCTTCCATCAGCACTGCCTCCATCCTGATCTCTATTTGTAACTGAGATTTCTGATTTTACGATTTTAGACTGTCCTCTGTCTTTTGTTGTTTTTGGTTTTGTTTTTTCCCTTTCGGTTTGCTTGTCTGTTTGACTTGTTTGTGTGTTTAAGTGCTTTTGTTCCCTGTTTGTTTGTCTGTTTTCCTTTCCAGAGCTACCTCAAGAAACAAGCAAAAGTACACATGGTAGAGAGTTCTAAATATCACTACGAGTAGGGCAATAAAATAACCAAAGTCACAACAAAAGAGACCAAGGGACACCATTAAAAGAACACTTTCTGAACAGACAGGCCCTGGGCAGTCTATGAACCTCCTTTAATACAGCAGTACTCACAGGAGCAGAGTGCATAACAAGCTTTTAAAACTTACAACAGACAGAAAGCTAGCCAAAATGATGAAACGGAAGAACTCTCCTCTAAAGTAATTCCAGGAAGATTTCCAAGTGACAGCTAAAGAATTGGTCAAAACAGATATAAGCAACATAACTGACCAAGAATTTAGAACAATAGTCATAAAATTAAACGTTGGGCTTGAGAAAGGCATGGAAGACACCAGAGACGCTATTGCTACAAAGACTGTGGACTTTAAAAACAGTTGTGATAAATTTAAAAATCCTATAAATGAGCTGTATAAAAAAATAGAGGCGGCCACTGCACTGATTGAAGAGGCAGAGAGGAGAATAGGTGAATTAGAAGGCACAATTATAGAAAAAGAGAAAGCCAAGGAAAAGAGAGATAAATTGATCCAGGAGCACAAAAGGAGAATTCGAGAACTGAGTGATGAAATCAAACAGCACAATATCCCTATCATAGGGATTCCAGAATAATAAGGGAGAGAGAAAGGGAATGAAGGAGTATTTGAACAAATTATAGCCGAGAACATCCCCAATCTGGGGAAGGAAACAGACATTGAAATCCAAGAGGCACAGAGAACTCCCCTCAGATGTAACTTGAATCGACCTTCTGCACGACATATCATAGTGAAACTGACAAAATATAAGGATAAAGAGAGAATTCTGAAGGAAGAATTAGGGAGAAAAGGGCCCTAACATACAAAGGGAGACATACGAGAGTGGTCGCAGACCTATCTAATGAAACTTGGCAGGTCAGAAAGGAATGCCAGGAAATCTTCAATGTGATGAACGGAAAAAATATGCAGCCAAGAATCCTTTCTCCAGCAAGCCTGTCATTCAGAATAGAAGGAGAGATACAGGTCTTCCCAAACAAACAGAAATTGAAGGAATTCATCACCACTAAACCCATCCTACAAGAAATCCTGAGGGGGACTCTATGAGAGAAATGTTGCAAGGAACACAAGGTACCAGAGACACCACCACAAGCATGAATCCTACCGAGAACACAATGACTATAAACCCATATTTTTCAATAATAACACTGAATGTAAGTGGACTAAATGCTCTAATCAAAAGACATAGGGTATCAGAATGGATTAAAAAAACCAAGATCTATCTATTTGTTGTCTACAAGAGACTCATTTTAGACCTGAGGACACCTTCAGATTGAAAGTGAAGGGATGGGAAAATGGGAAAACGTCTATCATGCTACTGAAAGTCAAAAGAAAGCTGGAGTAGCCATACTTATATCGGACAAACTGGACTTTAAAGTTAAGGCAGTAACAAGAGATGAAGAAGGGCATTATATAATAATTACAGGGTCTATCCATTAGGAAGAGCTAACGGTTATAAATGTCTATGCACCGAATTCGAAAGCACCCAAATACATAAAACAATTAATCACAAACAGAAACAATCTTATTGGTAAGAATGTGCTAATTGCAGGGGACTTTAATACTCCACTTACAGCAATGATACCACCTCACACCAGTCAGAGTGGCTAAAATGAACAAATCAGGAGACTATAGATGCTGGTGAGGATGTTGAGAAACGGGCACCCTCCTACACTGTTGGTGGGAATGTAAACTGGTACAGCCCCTCTGGAAAACAGTGTGGAGGTTCCTCAATAAATTAACAATAGAACTCCCCTATGACCCAGCAATAGCACTGCTAGGAATTTATCCAAGGGATACAGGAGTGCTGATGCATAGGGGGCACATGTACCCCAATGTTCATAGCACCATTTTCAACAATAGCCAAATCATGTTAAGAGCCTAAATGTCCATCAACTGATGAATGGATCAAGAAGATGTGGTTAATCTATACCATGGAATACTACATGGCAATGAGAAAGAATGAAATCTGGCCATTTGTAGCAACATGGATGGAACTCGAGGGTGTTATGCTAAGTGAAATAAGTCAGGCAGAGAAGGACAGATACCATATGTTTTCTCTCATATGTGGAACAGGAGAAACATAACAGAGGACATGGGGGAGGGTAAGGGAAAAAACAGTTAAGGAGAAGGAGGGAGGCAAACCATAAGAGACTTTTAAATACTGAGAACAAACTGAGGATTGATGGGGATGGGGGAGAGGGGAAAAGGGGTGCTGGGCAGGAAGGAGGGCACTCGTTGGGATGAGCACTGGGTGTTACATGGAAACTAACTTGACAATAAACTATAAAAGAAAAAAGTAAAATAAAAATAAAATTAAAATAAAAAGTTATTTCATTGTTTTCTAAAAAACTATAATAGGAGATTCATTTACAAAGTTCAATCCATATTCTGCATAATAATTCAGAGAAATAGTAATGTTTCATTCATTTAATTATAATTCCTAAGAAAAATATTTTAATTTTTTTTACATTTTACTTATTTCTGAGAGAGAGAGAGAGAGAAAGGGAGATACAGAATCCGAAGCAGGCTCCAGGCTCTGAGCTGTCAGCACAGAGCCCGACACGGGGCTTGAACCCACGAACCGTGAGATCATGACCTGAGCTGGCATCAGCCACTTAACCAACTGAGGCACCCAGGCACCCCAAGAAAAATATGTTTTAAAAACTGTTTTCAAGTAGTTGATATCAGATAAGGAAACTTGAAAAAGTGTTTCTTGAAGTGGGGTGAAAAATTAAGACAAATTAGGTTACAAACACTTTTAGTTCTACCAGCTATTAGTCTCTGATTTTACTTTTTGGACCTACAGATCATGTAAAATAATCCCTAAATTTCCAAGGGATCATGTAAAATAATCCCTAAACTTCCAAGGGATTTGGAACCACCACCAAGACAAAATTTCTGATTGAAATTCTAAGCAATTCTTTTCCTTTTGGTTTTAACTCATTTTAGAGATAATCACAGCTTTATCTTCCAAGTACCACATTATCAATTTTTTTTTCTACCAATGAGTTCATTTTATAAGTCTTTACCAAATTTTACCAAAATTCCATTACCATGAAAAGAAACGATAGTCCCTTCAGTTTTTAACAGTAGCATCACACAGTATATTTCAACTATGAAATAATCAACATTATTAAATATATTTTATTATGCTGAGTTTTAAAACATGTAATTTTTGATTCTACTGAAATACTCAAAATTTACACACATTAAAGTGCATACGTTGTAGGTATATAAACCAGTGAATTCTCCAAAACAGGTAACAACGCTGAGGTGTGAAACCCTGAGTGTTATCAGCACCCTAGGGACCTCTGCCATGCCTCTTCCTAATCCCTGACTACTCTTTTCCCCAATGGTGACCTCTCCCCTGACTTCTAACTGACTTAGACTAGGTTGGTAGTTTTTACAGATCTTCGACATGGTCTTGTCTAATGTGGCCAAATCATTATTTCCCAAAAGTTTCCTTAATTTGTAATAAAATTTAAGATTAGGGCCACTAAATATTACTACTTTAAAAAGTTCTTTCTTCAAAGAGAGGAAGAGGACAGAAGGGTCACCATGAATTCTCTCAATTAAACATGGGAAAAAGAAGCAAGAGCAAGGAGAGTGGAGGGCATTCTTTGGGAATTCCACTTCGTTGACAATGTGCAGTTCACAGAGAGAAGCAAAGAAACACATATGTTTACACAATTTTTCGCTTGGAAAGTCAGAAAATCTCCTGCCCTTGACCAGCTCATTGTATCCTTTGCTGTGTTTTACCCGCCATCAGAGTCAGCGTCTCAGCCATTCTCATAGTCCTCTTTAAAGTCTGCGATCAGGATCATCGTACCCTATGCAAGATTGGGCCAGACGCTGCCTGGTGTTATAGCGCAGGTGTACTCACTTTCTGGATAATTCAGTGACCTACACACTTAACAATTATTCTCTTTCATGTGCATAAATCTCCTATTTGTGAACTCTGGTTAAACTGCTGTCGGAAGTCAAAAGGATTTTTGGGGGAGCAAATTTATAAATTATTGCAAAATAGAGACGTTTATGCAACTATGGAAGCATGGGATTCTTCCCACGTCAACTGAACACAAGTTTATTCACTGATATGAGGAAGTAGCAGAACTAAAGAAAATAAAAAATAAAGCTGATATGGAATTCACTTTACACTCTACAATGCTCCTCCGTGAATGGGACGGGGAAACACAAGTGGTTATTCCCTACCTGACACCTTCTCTTTTCCACACTCACAACAACATCATGTCCATTCTTCAGCTGATTACCATGTGTCCTTCATCACTAGCCTCAATGTAACAAAACAAAACAAAAAAATTGCCTACAAGGCATTCCTGACTCTCTCTTACCTACCGGGTTAATTGTCTTAGGGTTAAGTTTATCACTTGGTCGAGGATGAAGTTTTCTTGCGGATTCTGGTGAACCGGTTGAGGATGAGGATTTGCTTTGTTGAGCCGGAGTCCTATGTTTTATTTGTATGCTGGGGGATGTCCGTGGATCACAGTTACCTGGAAGGAAAAAGATCAACAACAAAACAGGTGAAAGACATAAAGCTCACTATTCTCCATCTGTATAACTGAATGTGTCACTCACCCGATTCACCCCTGCATTTATAAAGCAATGTTCTGTACCTGCCCCTCTGTTCCTCAGCTGAACGCCTCCGTGGCTCTCTGATTTCTGCATTGCTTCCCCTTCACGCCTGAGGTCAAATGCAATTTGACTTCAGAATTTGGGGAATGAGAGATTCATTAACAACATAAAGACCATAACAAAGCAGAGTAGATAATATAGTAAAAGACACACACACACAAAAAGGTATGGCCTGGAGCAAAATACCCCAAAGACCAATGAGAAAAGACAAAATTACATCAACTTCAATATCAATAACAGCAAATGAAAAACAATCTGTAAGAAAATAAGATAAATAAAATAAACATTCCCCCCACCCCATTCAAACTGTCAAAATATGCCTTCAGAATCTCAACAGAATCTCAAACCGCTGGCTATATTCAGAAAACATGGACTGGATTTCTGAAAGGAGTAAGTGGTTGGCACATCTTCTCTGGTCTCTATTTCCAAAGGTCCAAATGCTAACATCTGTATATCAAATCCTACTTTTTAAGCTATAATGACCTTTCCTACTCAATGTACCCAAGTTCCTTAACCTGAACATAACCGAAACTAAGGTTATCACACTCAAGTTACAGACCTCTTGTTAATTCTAGGTACCACCAATTTTCTGGTCCCTCAGGCTAAAAGGCTTAAGATCACTGCTATCCTCTTTTCCTTCACTTCTTACATATGTGATCAATGTGGTGTGAAGAGACGGAAGCCGCTTTAGGCTCAGATCTTAGTCTGCATCCTCATCTCTACCAATTACCAGGTTTCTTTTTTTTTAAATTAATTTATTTTTTTATTTATTTCTAGGAGAGAGAGAGAGAGACAGCGTGAGCAGGGGAGCGTCAGAGAGAGAGGGAGATACAGACTCTGAAATAGGCTCCACGCTCTGAGCTGGCAGTCAGCACAGAGCCCGACGCGGGGCTCGAACCCAAGAACCGCGAGATCATGACCTCAGCGAAAGTCGGACGCTTAACCGACTAAGCCACCCAGGCGCCCCTCAGGTTTCTGAATTTAGGTAGATTATTCAATCTCCTCAAGCCTGGATTTCCAGACCTATCAAAAGGGGAGGATAATACAAGCCTATAAACGCTGTTACTGAGGAGTAAAGAAGGCATTATATCAAGCTGCTCAACCAGCCAGCGATTGGTCACTTCTTCCACACTTTCCTCTTTTCTGATACTGGGAGGACTCTAATTCCCAGGATGATTTTCTGCCTAATCAAACAGATTATTTGTAAACTCCTATCTCTACCAAGGAATCCTCCACCACACACACCCAGATTCATATACCCAACTGCCTGCTAGTATTTCTAAGTGTGGCTCCAATCCCAAATTCCATGTGGCCTTTCCTGATCTCTGTTTCTCAAATGTGTATGTCCATGGCACTCTTGATTTCTGCACTATGTCCTTCTTATTTCTACTTGATTACTCCACTCCCTCACTGCCTAGCATTCTAGTAATTGTTTCACTAGAGCATTTCTCACTCAAAGCCTTTAAAATTAATATTAAATATATAACTACCCTCAGGTGCCTGGGTGGTTCAGTCAATTAAGTGTTGGACTCCTGATTTTGGCTCAGGTCATAATTTCATGGTTCTTGGGTTCAAGCACCACATCAGACTGCTCGCTCAGAGCCTGCTTAGGATTCTCTCTCTCCTTCTCCCTCTCTGTCCCTCCCCCTTCCACACACACGTGTGTATGTATGCTCTCTCTCAAAGTTTAAAATATGTGTGTATATACATATATATACATATACACACACACAAACTACTCCTCAACTACACTGTAAGTTTTGTCCACTGTGGACAAAACTCCACGTTAAATCAGCCCCAAGATATTTCAAACATGATGTGACCACATCCAAGTGCCTTGTAAAGATAAATTAAATGTGAGATCATTTCATAAACAGAACAATTTTCAATTTCAATTTTCTTGATTGAATACATTCACCTAATTTCCTCATCTTATTACCAGCAGATGACTTCCTTCAAAAGATCACACTTTACATTCATTCCTAAGGCATTTTCCAGAACTATGGTAATTAACAGCTCATTAATTTTGTCAGACACTATTCTAAAGTAAGGTAAGGCAGGCTTTAAATATTTCGACCTCACACTGCACTTCAGTGAATATTCAACAAGTACTTACTATCATACCAGGTCTCTGTTTTGAGACTCTCCTAATGGGAACTGTCTGATCTAAGTTTCTGTATGTATGCATGCATATATGTATGTATCAATCAGTCTATGTCTATTTTGTCAACTCTGTGATTGGGGATAATTACAGAAACTACTCTTAATGTTGATGAAGACTAATAAATTAATATTTCTTTTGATCATACACTGTAATAGCTGTCTTAGCTGAAAAAGAGGCATCACAAAGGTACCACCCACTAACATACAAAGAGCAGAGTTGGACACATCGAATCACAATGCAGTTTTCAACACTACCTGCCAAATCTATAGAGGTTTTTTTTGGAACGACTAAATTTCTATCTTCGTTTATGTGAAAAAGTTGTTCCTGAATGGTACCAGTAAGAAGGTGCTGCATTATATTTTGAAGGAGTTCAAAGAGCCACTGAAACTCTTCATTTTGACAACCTTTTAAACATGGCAGAAAATTGAGCTTCCAAAGGCTTTACACATAAAGGGCAGTTTTCATGTGTCATATACTTATGTAATTTTCAGCAGTAATTTCAAAACTCACACGATGCAAACATTTCTACATTCACTTTCAAAACACCCTATATAAGAGACTTTCCAAAACAATTATTTTTCACTTATTATTAAAAGTATCCACCTATACCTTACAAATTAAGTCTGCTCAATTTTTAAAACTGATATCCCTCTGGGAGCATACCACTGACAAGAAAACTGGAACAAGAGTTGTTTGTAAAAGAAAAGGGCTTAATTCATCTTACGCTCAACAACTCTTTTGAGTTCTTTTTCATTAAATAACATGTGGAGGGGGGTGTAAAGGGGTAATATTGGTGGAAGGAAGTGAAAGGTAAGGGCTATTTTGTGCTACAAATATTACTGCAGTCACTTCTCATTCTTTTGCAAAACAATATAAAGATTCTAAATAGACACTAGAATCCACTTGACCCAAACAGCTAAACTATGTTATAATACCAAAGAGCAAGAAAATCAAGCAGGGCCCCACAGCGGAAGCCTCATTTTCCCTTGGGTTTCCTTAGGTGCCGCGGCTCACCTGAAAGGGGCTATAGGCATCTGCGTCAATGCTGGCTAAGTGTACTGTTTTCATGGTTTTGGACCGCTCACATGGCCTACTTCCTTCCCTATATGCACTTTCTTCCTGGACCACGCTTTGAGACCACTGCCCTAAACGGCTCACTAAATTCTCGGCGGACAGAGGCCCACGTTTTTTCCTACTCTCGCATCCGTCGTTCAGAACGTTCCAAAAGTGCGATAGGCACCCCACTAAAGATGCCATGATCCGTCTTCAAACTCCAGAGTGCAGCAACAGAGCCCAACATCCACCTATCTCAATCCCTTTTTACCATAAATCCAAAGGGCCAATATTAAGGGTCTTAAAATTTGCTTTCCGAAAGAAAGAAAGAAAAAGAGAAGAGAAAAATAGCATACCATAGCCAGAATAGCACGGAGGGACCATAGGGTTTGGGGTCTTTTACTAAATGGAATGGGAATAGTAAATTTTGATCTGATATATGTCATGTAAAAGTCACAAAGCACTCTTCATCAAGAGCTCAGAGAATTAAATTAAATTCATATATCTTATCCCCATTCCAGTAGGTAATATAACCTCAGTAGTGAAATAAAGTCCATGAACAGATTTCTAATTAAATCCTTCATTGTATGAAAATAAAAATCATAGAAATAATACAACTTATTATATGATTTGTCATCAAAAATGCTCTAGTAAAGCTTATATACACTTGCATGACTTAATAAATCTTTACCCCAAAGTAAACAACTTATAGAATTAAAACTCCTCTGTGAAAAAAGTACAGTAATTTATTGTATCATGTAATACCCACATAAGCTGAATAAAAATTACCTTTAAATATTAAAAAAAAAATTGCTTTCTGTTTTCCTACCCTCTTCCTCTCTAACCCTCTTCCTCTCCAAATACTTAAGACCAGTTCAGGGACAGGGTGGTGTTAAAGTTAGAAAATCAGGACGTGTAGGAAAAAAAAATCAAGAAAAACAGAGTTGTGTTGTGTTGTGTTGTGTTGTTTTAAGGAGGCGGGGGTGGGGGAGGGTGGGGAGGGGGGAGCGGGGCAAGAAGGCCGGGTTTCCGTTTCGACCAAGGAGTGCTACTCAGCCAAAGTCGGATCCCAGGAAAGGTGCGCTCTCGGCGCGCTGCAGCTCCAAGGTCCTTAGCAACGGAGTCCGGCGGCCCTAGCAACAGGCCAGCCCGGAAGCCTGCAGCCCAGACAGCGCGGGCGGCACGGCGCGATCCCCGCGCCGCAGGCCCGCGGCTCCCGGTACCCGATCCTACCGCGCCTCGGTCCCGCGGCGATGCGCACGGCGGCCGCCACGCCGCCGGGGACTTCCGCCCTGCGCCCGCTCGGCCAGCCAGCCTTCTCCCGTCACCGGCCCCGGGGTTTGCGGACAACGAGGCTTCGCGCGGTCCCCGGATCTGGCAGCGCCGCGCAGTGACGTCACACGCACGCCGAGTCCTCCAAGCCTTTACAGGAAGGCTGCAGAGGCGCCTGGCGGTGCTGGGTGGTCGTGGCAAGGAGGCGCTGTGTGACGGCGAAGGGGCACCCGGTGGAGGGTCTCTGAGGACTGCAGAGAGGTCCAGGGAGGGGAGGAGAGCACAGAGTCCCGGTTCCCTGCACCACAATCTATCTCTCCCTAGTGCCTGTACTTACCACTTACCACGTTTCTTGAACACTAATAATATTTTCTGCACCTGCCCTAGAGCCTGAGAGCTAAGGATCCTGAACTCCAGCCGCAGGGTCTTCAGGGGAGAGAGCCAAAGACATCTATCGGCCTGCCCAGCTGTGGAATTTCTTTTCCTGCCGTAACTTCTTGATTCACATGCGATTGCGTTCAACTACATGATACATCCATGTTTTAATACAGTGCGTGTGCTTTTAAACTTCATAGTATTTTAATAAAACCGATGCTGCAGGAAGATACATGCCCCCCTGTGATCCTACCAAAAGCAATTTGGATTGTCATAGTAAAAAGCCCTTCAAACGTGTCCACTGCATTCCTTTCTAGCGTCTTCTCCCGTTTTCATCCACAGCCTTAACTTTTTGCTCGGGTAATAGCTAATTATACGGTCGTCATTGTCTGAGCCCTCCAGGCAGTATAATCCTTACCTATCTTTGTAGCTCTATTCTCGCTTCCCGAGCTACTGCTGTGGAAGGTTCTTCCACAGGATGTGACTTCCTTTATGACGGTGATTATGCCTTTTCCCTTCATTTCTCTTCCTTCTAGCACGATGTTGCAGGGACTCAGAAAATACCCTTTGAATAAATGAAACAATCTAACTCCTCCAATGTACTGTGAAATTTGCACACAAGTCTAAACTTTTAAAATTCATTATGTATACCTATCTTTCCCATGTGACTGAAACGGTCTCCATCCCTTTTCTGTTTCCAATTAACATAATGCGTGCTTGAGAGTAGTGGTTTTTGCCTTTTTAAAAAAAAATCATTTTGAGAGAAAGAGAGAGCAGGCAAGGGACCAGCTGATAGAAAATCTGAAGCAGGCCCCACTCGAGGCTCTGTCTCACAACTGTGAGATCATGACCTGAGCCAAAAATAAGAGCCAGAGGATTAACCAACTGAGTCACTTAGGTGCCCCTTAAGTAGTGTTTTTTAAGAAAGAGCGAACGAAAGAAAGAAAGAAAGAAAGAAAGAAAGAAAGAAAGAAAGAAAGAAAGAGGAAAGAAAGAAAAATATCCTCCTTCTTAGCTACGTTCACCTTACGAGCTCATAACTCTCTTCTGCAGATTCTCCATGCCTTATAATATCTTCTTGCCCTCTCCCTCCCACGTAGCATCCCCACTGATAGGCTTAGCAGCACCTAGTTTGTGCACTTTTAGTCCCTCTGTCTGGAGTGAAGAGTAATTTTCGTATTCAGTATTGCAGAGAAGTGAAGTGTACATGTTCTGAAGTTAAACCGTCCACGCTAGAAACCCAACTCCATCACTTACAAGCTACAAGACCTTGTGCAAAGTCATTTAACCCCCGTAAGCCTTAATTTTCTCATCATAATAAGGTTCATGTAAGACTTAGTAAGCAAGAGCACAAGTGAAGTTCCTAACACACAGGAAACACTTGATAAGTATTCGCCAGTGCAGTTGTTGAGGTGAAAGCCAGTTGAAGTTTACATAGACAACACTGTGTTGCAGAACTCTCAAGCTGTGTCTTGGTGTTAGTATAAGACCATGAAGAATGACACGGATTTTTCCAATTTTTTAAAATAACAAGAATTGCTTGGGTGAGCCTTTCCTAATCATAATTAAATCAACCTCTCGTAAATTTGTATCTTCGTTTTAGAAAATTAAGACACAGGTTCACTAGCATTGTGACTTTGTCTGAATATCGTGCAATAAATGGTGGATACTTTCTTGAATACACTACTTTGAGAAGCCTGTGAGACATCCCAGTGAATGTGACCAGAAGACAGTTGGATATAACCATCCAGTACAGAAAAGCAAGGATTATGGGCTTTATAGTAATCAGCATATAAACAGTAACTGAGGCCATAGGGAGTATATAGACAGTAACAAGGTACTTCAGAGAGAGCATGCTGTGTGAGAGAGACAGAACGCCAATGGCTGACTTCTGTCTCTGAATCCTCTTCTGGTTTCAAGGTTTAATTCTCTATTTGGAGAGAGTACAGAGGGAGGGAATGGGTGACCTAATGACTAGCAATATGGCAAATTATTCTAAAAAGGAAGTGAGTACCATGTATCTCCCCTATTCCCCCACTGATGTACTCTCCACCATTTTCCACTTACTGTATACTTTGGGAAATGGATCACCGTGGACTGGCATCAACAAGGCTTCTAGGCCCTCCGGATTACACTTGGGCTTGGCCAATGTGGTAACTTGACAATAAATTGTAGAATTTGGGGAGAGTGAAATCAGAAGATTGCATTCTTCTGCTCCATCTCTAAGAGTTTCCCTGAAACTGGATACATCCTTCAATGGAAGTCGCAGCTGCTTTCTAAATGGCCAACTTCAGGACTACAGGTATAAAATCTCAGGTGCTTCCTGCCCTTGATTATGTACTGTCTGTGCAGCTACCTTATTCTTTAAAAAATATCCCTTTCTAAACAAAACCTTGCCAAATCATCTTATGTTTAATATATCACTGCATGGTATATAACTTTGTGAAGTAGATAAATCTAATCAAAACTGAAAACTCAGAATAATTTTCTCATCGTTTTGATTTGTATTTCACTTAGAAGCGCATCTCAGCCATATTCATTTAGTCACCAAGCATTTTAAAGAAAATATCAGAAGTATTGTTGGCTGGAGCTTAATTACTTTTTGTAATCTGTTCCTTTTTGTACAAATTGCAGACCAACTTATCATTCCCGATTATCAGGAAATGAGATATAAGTCATTTTTTTAATGTAATTTCTACTACACACTGTCAGGGGATGTTAGACATCGTCATTGTATAATCATTGCAGTACCCATATGGTAAAATTAATTTTAACTGTAGTTTTTTTTTTTTCCATATGGAAAATATTAAGCAATGATAGCAGCTACTCAGTTGAAATGGAAGGTCAACATGAATGAGGTTGTATGTAGGTCAGCATTGTACAATAGAAATACAATGTGAGTCACATATGAAATTTTAAATTTCCTAGCAGGCAGGTTTAAAAGGTAAAAAAAAAAAAAAGTGAAATTCAGTTAATTGCTCTACTTTATATATTACATTTTATGTAATAATTTATATTTATGATTTTATATTTTATTCATTTTATATTATATTTTATGTAATAGGTTAGATTTATATCAATGAATATTTTGTTTCTATAAAAATGGACAAATACGTCCAAACTGTTATCAATGTGCAATAATTAAAAAAATATTAATGTGACATTTTACATTCTTGTATCATAGTACATCTTCCAAATCAGGTACGTATATTACATTTACAGTGTATCTCAATTCAAACTAGCCACATTTCCTCAGTAACTACAGGTAGCTAGTGGTGATCATATTAGAGAATGCCATGAGAGAGCTGTGGCCTCACTTAGTGGTACAAACATAGAACCAAGGAAATACGTGGATTGTATCAAATGGTCACAAAGTGCATGTGGTATGTAGAACATACTATTAGATGTTCGAAGATCAATGTAAAGAGAAAACTGATGATAAACCCCAGTAGAACCAGTGCAATTAACAACTTCCTTTAAGATTCCGAGTTGAGTTTAATTTCTTTTACAAATTCCCTTTTTGTCAGTGGAAGAGACTTAATCTTGTTCTCCTTGGAAATGTGTTTGGAGAGGGAGAGATGAAGCTTGGAGAGATCAGGCCTCTGGTCCCCTGTTGTCATCTGCCTGTGTTGCCATCTGCAGAGAAGTACTCTGACTTTTCTATTCCTCCATCGTATATCTTCTATCCATGTAGATTGCTTATGCATCTCTCTCATTCCCCGTTCTCATTCGTAGTTAATTCCACTCTTCTCTTAAATGCCCAGGAAATATTCTATTCTTCCTATCTTATTTTTTTTAATGTTTATTCAGTTTTGGTGAACAGAGGGCATGAGCTGGAAAGGGGCAGAGAGAGAGAGGGGAGACACAGACTCCAAAGCAGGCTCCAGGCTCTGAGCTGTCGGTGCAGAGCCTGATGCAGGGCTTGGCTTGAACTCACGAATCATGAGATCATGACTTGAGCTGAAGTCAGACGCTTAACCTACTAAGCCACTCAGACGCCCCAATTTTTCTTAAGTGAGAGATACTCATGTGTTAGTTTCCACACTTTGGAGATCATAGAAACCAGCCAGACTGTCTTTGAGTCCTTTGCCTAGACACACCATCTGCCAATTTCCTCTGATCCTGTGCCCTGTTAGATTCAGGACTCCCTAGAAGGTACTGGGACATTAGTTCTGAGACATTGCCCTTGGGGATAGGATGAAAAGTGGAGAAGGCAGGGCACACAGTGTCTTCATACTCAGCTCTAGACCTTGACTCTGAATAATAGGCAATTCTTCCAACTCTTCCAAATAATGACTGGTCCTTGGACTTGGCTCTTGAAACTTCCAAGTCAAGAATCTGATTCTTGTTATCAGTACTTTTATGATGATATCCACCTCTCTGAGGCACTACATAGAAAATACCCCGGTAGTCTGCATGGAGGAGGTGCCATGAGGTAGCCAGAAATACTATTTTTATAGAAACGATTATATTCATTTATAACTTATTTTGGAATATCTTGTAGAATTTGTTTTTTTCTGAGACCTCCATCAGAATAATACACTATTTAAAGAGTGTTCCATCACACTTAGTTCAACTATAGCCTATTAAATTGAGGTTTAGGGGCAGATAAGGAAGAAATGGGCTTCTCACACATCTATCAGAAGTTAAATCTTGTTCTGCTGCTCTTGGGTTAATGAGTCCTCCTTCAGAAAGTAATTGACAACAAGGC